AATGACCATCGAGCGTTGCCCACATATCAAAGAACTGCGTTTTCCACTTGCAAGCATATAACAAGTTCGCTAAAGCTGTGTTAGTCCTCTTAATGTTATAGTGAAGGGTTTCAGTACTTTCGTGAGTAATTTGTAAAGTGTAATCTAGAATTTTGGCTAAATGGCGTTGAATTATTTCCCTGCTTTGCCTTCAATTTCGAAGTTGAACTCCCTTCTGGCGCCGATGTTTTTACATCGACGCACCAATTGCAATCTTCGGTCGGGAGGAGAATCGATACAAGTAACATTCACAAACATATCAATATCCAAATAGGACAAGTTTTCCTTTTACATTCGCACCTGAACTAAAATTCTGAGTTGAAGGCTTATTAGTCTTACCTGTTGATGCGCCAAATTGTGGTCTTGCCGCCTTTATAGTGTGTGTGTGTGTGTGTGTGTGTGTGCGCACGATTAATTAGTCCACTATCAATTGTGTCTACGGACAGTTAATATGGAAGCAAACTAGATGCTGCTCTAATCTACGAATGAAATCAACAAAAAACAGCACAGCCTTTTGGGATTTCAAATCAATTATTCCCATTCATGAATCGCCCTTTTCTAAGGAATCGGCGTATCGTTTCTTAGTGAAACCACGCCCATTTGGCTGCTATCTCTACTCCATAATAGTGTTGCAATTGAAAGTAGGCCTTTTTGAGAAGTTGTGTTATCACTATTTAGGCATCTTTTTATTCACAGATCTCCAAATTTACACTTTTTTTCGGTTATTTGAGTTGCAGCTACTTGTTAATAATTGTGCATTGAAGTGAAGTCCAATTTTATTACTTGAAATCAGGCGTTAGTATTCAAATGAATGCCCAATAGTTTACTTCACGAAATTAAGTTATCTCAGCTTCTTTTATGATGTAATAAGGGGGGGGGGGTGTATGAATTAAAGGTATTTATTTATTTGTTTATATCAAATGGCAGGCGTCTTGATGGTTATCATTAGCCCTTTAGTTGACTTCAGGCTTCACAGAGGGGAAGGAACTTCAAATTGAAAAAGTCGAGAGGGGGGGGGAACAGAAGAGTGTTTCAAAGATGTAAGAGACAAACACAAAGGTAGAAAAAGGGTGAGGTGAGTACTGTGAAATAGTCGAATATGGCATAGAGTGAGGTGATGGTAGTTTGAAGTGAGAAGTCAACTGCCAGCCAATAGACTTTTTTGCCATATGAGTATACGTTGCCTATCGCAAACCCCTGAATTAGAGGTTTTTCGGGAGATACTTGACCTCTTAATATCACCAAATCCTTCAGATGTTTACGTTCACTTCTCGTCCCTTAAAACTTCAGACCCTACACTTAATAATAAGGAGAATGGATGCCTGAAATCCAC